GCCGCCGGCCCCATGGGCTGGGAGTTGGCAGCCTTGTGCAGGCCAGAAATGGCAGCTGGAGAGGGAAGATGCTGTTTCCAGCCCCACACTGACTGGGAACTGGCAGACCAGCACAGGGCCAGAAGCAACCAGGCTGCAGTGGCCCCTGCCCACAGCCGGAAGAACCGTCACAGTCCACCCACCCCTATTTAATCGGTTAACTGATTAATGTTTAACTGGTTAATTAATTAATTAAATAGGATTTTGCATCCCTAGGTGGGGGGGAGGTGTATATCTGCTTAGCAAAGGAGGCTGCTATAATCTGGATAGGCAAATGGTCTGTAGAAATTGCTAGTTGATATTTCCATCCTTACATCTGATGATGGGAGGAGCATCTTTTCACCCTTCCCTTTGCTTTTCTACCACTTCTTGCTTCCCAGAAGGGCTGCCAATGCCAGGAAACTGCAGCAATTAGTCAGGAGAAGGATTCAGACAGGGGAGACCACTAGGGAAAATACCTATTCCCTGTGGCAGAACTCTGCTTTTCAGAGGAGTCTGTCTAAGCCTCACAGGCCCCTGGAGAACATCAGAAAACTGCTGCCAAAAGAGTCTGAAAGCTCTGTATAATATAAGGAAGCTCTATTTCAGGTTGCAGGCAAGGGAGACCATCATGAACTAGCAGGGAGAGCACTCCTTGCCCTTGTCTGTGATGGCCATGTTTGATTCTGCATCAGGATAACCAATGTAAAGATCTGCAGCCCTCACCCACCCAGTGTATTGTATATTGACACTTGAATCGAGGGCATTGACCATTTCACACAACTAGATTTAGGATTTAAAATCCATTTTTGTCAAGCCAAAGCACCACAAAGAAAATCTGCTGACTACTAGTTGAACATCTCAACAGTATTCATCAATCATTAGATCTATCACTGAAGGACTCTCACCTGATGATAAACGGTTGACTATTTATAGTGCATGAACTGGAGTAGTTTGAGTTGTTGCTGGAAGGTCTGGGAGGGCTTTTTGAGAAGGAAATGGATTGGATGGGCCCCAGTTTAAAGTGACTGTACCAGTTCACAAGCTGCAGCTGGCCATCATAGAATTTAACGTGACCTTTGACATCACAAGTTACAAAATAGCTGAAAGGAAAGACAAAAATCTGTTAAACAAAAACATTTTAAGGAGTACAAGAAGAACCAAAGGCTTGCCTATGCAAACATTGAGTTCATGGCAAATGAAGGTGTAAATCTACACTGCACTAGTGTACCACTCACTAAATGTCTGTGTGGACCCTGCTGCTGTGCACTAATAGTTCAAGTATAGCAGGTTTGTATGGGATAGATATGCACCCCACTCGTCTCAGACAGTGTGTTTAGACCAGTCTTAATGTTCTGAACTTCTCTAGGGATTTTTATGAAGAATACATTTCACAAAGCCTGATCCTGCTCTCATTTACACTGGTGCAAGTCAAGAGTAACTGCACATTGTAATCAAGGTCGTTACATTGGCGTAGAACTAGTGTGAGATCAAAATCAGGCTTTTATATTTCACAATACCATTATAGGACATTTTGATCCACACTTTATAGAAACTGGGAAAATCGAAACTCAGAGTGTTGACATGACATCCCTCCATCACAAAATGTCAACAACACAGCCAAAAATAGAACCCAAGACTCTCAATTCACAGTCCTTTGCATTAATCTCTAGTTACAAGACCTTTGGAGGGAAGAAAATTAGTATCTATAAACTCTGTAGTAGTCTGGCACCAGTTAACCACATTCTTAAACAAAGCTGTCAACTAAATTAGCTTTTGTCTAAAAACCTACTCATGGGGCTAGAACCCAAGAACTCCTGAGTTCTAGCTTTGACTCTGCCATGCACAATCTTGGGAGGCCAGTTAAATGGAGCATGTTTCAGTCCTTCTATCTGTAAAGCAAGGGCTATGATCCATAACTGACAGGGGATGATGTTAGGGTAAGTTTATGTTTAGGCAGCACTTTCAAACTGTAAACAATTAAGTACTAGGTATTTATTTTTTATAGTTATTAACTTCCACTTAGCAATCCTTAAAGAGTACATAGATGCTTAATACATTACTGCAGGATCACTGTATGGCAGGGCTACTCAATACGCAGCCCATGGGCTGCATGTGGCCTGCAGTGCAGTTTGGATTTACATGGGGATCAACACATGGCCCACAAGACATGGCCTCCACTGGGAACACGCTCCACAACGGCGAGGTGTCTCCCAGGCGGGGTGAGCATTAAAATGCAAGCAGACAGACTGGCTAGAACAGATGGATATAGGGAGTCAGCATTTCTATCCCCCAGGGAGGAGGTGCTGGGAGCACCAGGGCATTGTGTGAAGTACTTTGTATTTTGTACTTTGCAC